ACAGAATACCAATCAAGAATGGTGTAAGGCAGGGGGACACAATCTCCCCAATGCTATTTACCGCGTTCTTACAGGAAGTTTTTAGAAGCCTAGAATAGGAACAGTTAGGGATAAGAGTTAATGGAGAATATCTTAGTAACCTGCGCTTCGCCGATGACATTGCATTGCTGAGTAATTCAGGGGACGAATTGAAACTCATGATTACGGAGTTAGACAAGGAGAGCAGAAAGGTGGGTCTTAAAATTATTTTGCAGAAAACGAAAGTAATGTACAACAACCTCGGAAAGGAGCAGCGCTTCGAGATAGGTAATAGTGCACTTGAAGTTGTAAAAGACTATGTCTACTTAGGGCAGGTAATAACCGCAGAGCCTAACCACGAGATTGAAGTAACTAGAAGAATAGGAAAGGGGTGGAGTACATTCGGCAAGCACTCTCAAATTATGACAGGTAGATTGCCACTATCCCTCATGGGGAAGGTATATAACAGCTGTATCTTGCCGGTACTTAGCTACGGAGCAGAAACCTGGACACTTACAAAGAGGCTTCAGCTTAAATTGAGGACGATGCAGCAAGCAATGGAAAGAAAAATGGTAGGTGTTACCTTAAGAGACAAGAAGAGAGCAGAGTGGATTAGGGGACAAACGGGGGTCAAGGATATCATAGTTGAAATAAAGAAGAGGAAATGGACATAGACTGGGCATGTAGCGCGTAGACAGGATAACCGCTGGTCATTAAGGGTAACTAACTGGATTCCCAGAGAAGGGAAGCGGGTTAGGGGGAGACAGAAGGTTAGGTGGGCAGACGAGATTAAGAAGTTTGCGGGTATAAATTGGCAGCAGCAAGCACAGGACCGGGTTAACTGGCAGAACATGGGAGATGGGAGAAGCCTTTGTCCTGCAGTGGACGTAGTCAGGCTGATGATGATGATGATGATGATGATGATAGAGAAAAAGTTCGGCCCATAAAGGCATAACAGCCTCATTTTGGTACGTTTCCATTATTCGCCTTACACTGATTCAAGGAAACTCCGGACATATCGTTTGTAAAGCGTTTTAAAAAACTCAAATTCTCGCAAAATAAAGCGCAAGGAAGCGTATTCAAGTAATAAACAGGAATGAGAAAGGAAAATCTTCATAAGGGGGCTCATCCAAGGCCCTTTCTACGACGATAGCGGTATGTGAAACTCGACGGCCAGGACATGGGCTCTCTTGAAAGCTGAAGTTGATTAAAGATGTTGGAATGAATCAGCCTTAATTTGCTGTTCACGCAGTAGCTTGATGTGAGTTGAGGGATTTGTGAAGTGATAAAAAAACAAATCACGATTGTATAATAATTTAGAATTTTAGGATTTTTTATTCGTTTTTGGTGAGTTCACTGAACTGAACATATTTTCAAGTATCAGAGAGTATGTGGACTTGAGAACCATTGTCTTAGCGCGTTTATTACCTTTGGGAGAGGCGTGTCCGTAGAAGGTAACAACTTGGAGCGTGCAAAGAGAAGCAAAACATGATTACTTCACATCATTTACAAGTAGAATGTACTATAGCGCTATATAAAAACACAGAACTCACTGTGCTCAATATGAGATTTGAAATTATATGCCCAGGCATACAATGTTCATTAGGCGATATGTTCAATAGGTATTGCAGCTACCTTAAACTGGGATTCTGGCGTAAATAATCAACCAAGCAATATTCCACGTCACTTCAAGACACTCACTGGTGTAGTGAAAATATCCCAGTAACATACACATCAAATTACGTTACCGAACGTGGTTACGTGGAGGCCAAAATTTTTCGACATCGTTATTCTTCTACTGCTATTGCAGCAGAGCATGTGCGTGTTTTCTATGTGCACTGATATTTTTTTCGCAGACGAATGAAAATTATTTGGAGAAAATTTGTTATGGTAGTTTAGTGCTTCTAATTAACAGTAAGAATGTGTAACTTCTGGCACATCTTCACAATACCTATTTTGTGACTCATTAAGCGTTCATTTTTCTTTCATTTCTGCACTTATACCACAAAGTGACCGAACAGGTTACCCTTGATGCGTCGGCGAGCTTTGCCAAAAGTCATTGTACAACTCTTTTCCCAAGCACCTCTTTTCACGGAATGTGTGTTTTGTCTTGCTTTTTGGCAAAAACACAGTTGATTTCATTGATTGATTTTTGAAAAATAAATGTTTTTCATTGAGTTATGGAACCTAATGTACCCCACATTTGGCGCTGATTAAGTGGTAATACAAGTTCAAGTAACATTTATCGCCTCGACCATTCTTCTGCACTACCTTTTGCCATTCAGACCAGCTTTCAATGGTCTTGCTGCTGAAATGACTACCGAGATAAGCTTGTACACTTTACTCTCAGAGCTAAATATAATTGGTCGCGAGGAAAAGATATATAACTATATAAAAGATTTTCTCCCCAACCGGGAGGCGACAATTGGTATCTCAAGCGTTAGGTCTGAGCCATTCCGAATGCCAAACAAGGGAACGCCTCAAGGAGCCATAATATCTTCTCTGTTGTTTAATATCGCCATGCGTCAACTCGCTCGGGCCTTGGATTGTGTACCACAGCTAATTTATACCTTAACGCGGACGACATTACTCTGTGGGCCACACGGGGGTCCCTGGCCAGTAAAGAGCAGACTCTGCAAGAGGCCGCACTGGCTGTCGAAAACTTTGCCAGAACCAGTGGTCTCAGCTGCGCACCCGAAAAATCGGAGGTGATCAGAATGCACCGCAAACGCTACAAAAGTAATGGAAGAATAGAAACTGAAATCGAAAAGCAGAAAATTTAAGAAGTCACCGTCGCCCGGATCCTGGGTTTCTGGGTTCAAAGCAACGGTAGGGCAAATCACACAATCGGTATTCTTAAATCAGCAACTAAAGAAGTGGCTAGGATGATTCAGAGGATCATCTTCCACAAAAAAGGCATGAAAAAAAAGAACATTGTCCGTTTAGTGCAGGCGCTCGTAATGAGCAAAATGACATACAGCTTGCCTTTCCATATGCTGAACAAGAGCGAGGATGAGCAAGTAGATTCTATCATCAGAGGGGCTTACAAGGCAGCATTAGGCTTACTGATAAGCACTCCGACACAGAGGCTTCTCGAGATCGGCCTGCATAACACGTACGCTGAACTGAAAGCAGCAACATTGATCTCTCAGCGCAACCGCCTCAGCCAGACGAAGTCGGGAAAAGAGATGCTGATGAGGGCGGGTATAACACCGCAACCCCAAAACTTGGACGAGGAGCTGGTGGACGTACCAGACCCAGTCCGACAACATATTTCGATCGCCCCTATCTCCAGGAACATGACCAAGGAGAGGCATCACGAAAGGCGAGAGTAGCGTGTAAAATGGATCAGAAAATTAGTCAGAGGCAATGAGAACGTGCTTTACGTTGAAGCTTCCAGGTATAACTCGAAGCGCTGCGTCGTTACAGTGGTAAGCAGTGAAACGAGAAGCATAGCGTCCAGCGCATCAATGTACACTACATCGATCACCAAGGCCGAGTGTTTCGCCATCGCATTGGCGATTAAATGTCGAGAGCACAGCGACGGCCAGACGTACATCACCATACTCTCAGATTCGCAAGAGGGGTGCCGGCTATTCAAGAAAGGCCGCCTCCCATGAAACATTTGTAAATTTTTAGGCGGCGAATTGAGCAACACTTATAGGTTGGTCTGGTGCCCTGGACATGCAGGCCTAGAGGGTAACGAGAGGGTGGACGCTCTAGCTCGAGTGCTCAAGAACCGAGCGGAGCAGCAGCCTTTCTCGCTGTTACCACCACCCAGCAACGACGGCTTTCGCGAGGAGGAGGAAAATGACCCGGCTTGGATGGCTCCGCGAGAGCTTCTTGCTCACCACCGATGCACGCGGCAGAAATATGGCGCCCCCCACAAATCTCTTAAAAGGGAATACTCCAAAAAACCTCCGTAAAATTCAAACGGGAGTTTATCCAAATTTATTACGACTGCGCAAAATTCATCCAACTTTGTATGTGCGCGATTGTCCGTGGTGTCGCGACTTGCCACCGACCCTTTACCATATCTCGTGGCGTGTTGCTAAACGGCCCAATGAACTTGATCGCTTACAGCGTATGTATACAATCGAAAACTCTTTGGAGCAATGGGAGGCACTCCTCGCTAGCTCGGACCCGGAGGTGCAACTAGCACTCCTGGACCACGTCCAGCAGGCGGCGCAAGCCAATGGAGCCTTGGACATGGGGCCCCACCTATCTAGCTCCTAAACCCCTTCTTTTTCAACCCAATAAATTTATTTCTCTCTCTTTCTCTTTCTCTTGTACACTTTGGGACACTGTAATTCCTGGTTTTAACTTGATACATCCGACTACGCGTTCGATAACTTCTTAGGTACACGAATACAAATTCACATACTTTTATTAAAAGACATGTCTCATAAGTTCTCTTCAAACGTCAGTATATTTTACATGGTAGCTTTTTTATGTGCTACATATTAGCCAAAATCCCTGAGCCATTGCGTTATAAAAAGTAATTTTAAATTTAAACAAACTTCCAGGTGCATGGTTGAGGCTGCCGTTGAAACCGGGCTCAATGCTATAGAACTAAAAGGACAAACGCCACGTATGTTGCCGCTGAGCATCCTCTTTCACTAGCAGGTCATAAATGAGTTTTTGCTCATATTCACTTCGCTGACGACGCACCTACTTCTGTAATTGCACTGCAGCTGAAAATTCCTGGCGCCAGAATTTCCTGACCCATCGCTTTTTTACCCTCATGTTCATTTCTGTACCTCCATATCTGCCTCAATTCCACATATGGTAAGCGCAATATATATTGCCGCAGAGTGCCCGGGCTTTTACAAGCAGATGATAGCTGGTCTTTTAAGTCATGTTCACCCCGTCGGTGACACACCCATTTTGCGATTCAACTTCCTCTGTACTTTTCTGGCACCAGAACTTCCTGTCACTTTGATTTTGTTCACACACATGCGCATTTATCCACCGCGAAATTTGCTAAATTGCTACATCACCACGGCTGGATGTAGTATATGAACGTCGCAGGTACGGCCACGATTGTACATCTCTTTGGTCTTCAACAAGATCTCTTGGTGAGTATGCTTTCACATAGTGGTGGTTGCGCACAAAATAAGTGCTTCATAAAATTTAGGTATCAGGGGCTGTATTCACCAACTCACTAACGAAAGTTTTTTGCGTGAGAGAACTTTTTGCGTAAGTCAATTCACGAAACAAAAAAAAAACAACGTAGGAACTCATAGTTGTCACATCGGTCGCTTCAATAAAGCACGCTGGAAGATGTCAGCGATGGTGATGCAGTTGCTATATTTGCCTATGTAACCGGAAAATTCTCGCAAGTGGATTCACGAAGCAAAATTTTGCGTGAAAACAACGTGGCTAGGAGAAAATCTTAGAAGTCATCCGCACCACTCTCAGGAACAGTGTGGCTACTTGGAATTTGCCGTCGCAGTAGTATACTTTGGTGCCCTGGCTGGTTTTGATGTTTTTTGTGTAACTAGTTATAAATTCAGCAGCGTGTACAATACTGGTGTTAACATACAACACTACCATACAGATTAGAAAACACTAAATAATGACGTTGGCACGGCCAACGACGACAATAGTTCTTTGCAATACTGATACAGAAGATAGACATGGTTGAGGGTGAGTTTCATAACTTCAAACTTAAATACACTTAAATACAGACTGAATGATTTTTAATTACGATTAGTCTCGCAATGTTTCAACAATACATTATATTTTCTGTGGTGATACCATGTTAGCCAGTCGTGGCTATGAGAGAGTGTCTGATAATCGGTTGCAATTTAGTATTACCGTATAGCAGTAGCACTAACATTAGAGAACACTACACCATGACAGTAGCTTGGCCGACAGGGCCAATCTATTGCTTGCAATATTAATGCAGGAGTAGATAAACGAAGTCAGACGTCCTTCTCACGTAATAAAGTTTTATTGCATTTGAAAAGCGATTCAATAGCCGGCAGTAATGGCCAGAGCTTGATCCATATTCAGCAGTCGTTCACTTCTTGGGCAAACCAATTGAACTAATGCCTCCGATGCCATCACCCAGAGCAACCGCTTCGTTAGGAGCCATGATGATCACAGCTGAAAATAGAATATGATTTGTTTTTAACAAGAAATAACACTAAATGAGAAAGTTCACATATACCGCATAAATGCCTTATTATCATTATGTTTTTCTATTAAAAAGACGTTTGTGAAGATCACGTCCTCGACTATCACTTTGCCGATTGCGTTTCGGTGAAGGCAACGTGGTGAAGACCAGTGTAGTGTGCGGTGTAAGTGTAAGCTGAAAAACAGCAGGAGTTCTTTGTGGCCTGTGTAATATATCTATTGTGGGTTTCAAATGTAAAATTTAGGTGGGGTAAATAATAATAATAATAATAATGATAATAATAATAATAATAATAATAATAATAATAATAATAATAATAATAATAATAATAATAATAATAATAATAATAATAATAATAATAATAATAATAATAATAATAATAATTTTATTATTATCATCATCATTATAAAATACTTCGCAAATAGCACCAAAAAAAACATAACTACGCGTGTACGACACCTATTGTGGAGTATATTATAGCCTATGCACGGGAATCTGCACATATAAGTACACACGCTATAGAAGAGAAATGCCTCACACTGCATTTAGGTAAAACGTGCATATTTAAGGGCTCGTTTTGGGGAGTGAAGCTCCCTATGCCGTGTATCTTACGATGTATGTAGTAGTAGTAGTAGCAGTAGTAGCAGTAGTTCTAGTAGGTAGCCACATCTACAGCCGGACAAGAGGTGCAGCACGTGCGCAGCCTTTTCGTTTGAGGAGGAAAGCCACACACGTTAATCATATATAAAGATAGTTTTTTCTATGAAATACCTTACAGGGAAGAGTATTGATGAATAAAAATCTCCAATAACATTTGCCTTGAATTTGATGCCTACAAATGAAACCTAGGATCAGAAGGACGCGCTTTAGGCACTATCTGACCAGTAAGTGTTGCCATGCTAAACTGGCCGGGTATAACCTGCTTGGTTTTAGTAAGGTTCATCAAGGATCGGGCCACAGTGCCAATAACTAGAGGCGGTGAAAAGTGGGAAATAGACACGAAGCGCAGTGCGTAAGAAAGTGCACGAGGGCCACCTCTTCTTTAGTCTTTGTAACGTTCGCTTCATGGCAATACTTCTTTATGCTGAATATACAATGAACACATGCCAGATGGTGGTACTTCGGGTGTTAACTAGATGGACGTACGGACAGATGTACATATGCACGGAAGGACAGAAGAACGCATGGATGAACGGGCGCATGGACGGACGCACAGGTGAACGGACAGACAGATGGACTCAAGAACGGATGGACGCTTCGCTCCACTCATCATCATGTACTCCGTGGATATGATGTGATTTTTGCTTTGTTAGACATAAAAATAGTGAAATCGAACTGGGTGTGGGGCACTCGACACAGAATTGATAAACACCACAGGTGTCAATAGAGTCTGCTGGAGTCTCCTAATGTCAACACGAGGAAACCCTTCACAGTCCCTAGCCGCCATTACAGTTTACTAAATCAGGGGAGTGCCTGGAACAACTTTCGAAAAGTGGACACCACACGAGGTCATGCCGCTTGGCGCTGCCATCGCTAGTTTGCAGTGTATCGTTGTTTTGACACTTGCGTGGGGCTCCATTTAGAAAAGTGGTGCAAATGTGAATGCCCGCTTACCATTCGAAAGGCCCAGTATCTGTCAGTTACAAACCATTTTCATACAAAGAGCTATGCAATGATACTGCTGTTTGGTTTACAAATAGTATGAGATCATTTTCATGCGTGATGGAATAAATAAAATTAACAAAAGGCTCAGGTTTTAATTGCACCTTTAGATAATCAGTTATTATTTCTAGTGTGAATCGGCATAGTTTTAGGCGCTTTTATTTTGTTTTTCGTGATAGCTTCAGTCAGTATGTATCACTACAAAAAGTAACTTTAAATATGATGAAAAGACAAAGAAACTTGCGAGTGATAGTAGTATCTAAATGTCATGCCACTACACAGCATTCAACAAACCTTAAGTAAGGCTCCGCGATCTTTGCGATAATGATAGCTCTAGGAGCCCATGCTTTACGTTTTAGGCCTAGGCTATTGATGAATGCTTAATTTGCTCAGCTGAATCGAGTGACTGATTTTTTTCTGAACTATATTTGGGGCGTTTCCAATAAATGAGATTGTTCTATAGCACGCATTGATTAATTTGATTGATTTGTGGGATTTAACGTCCCAAATCCACCATATGATTATGAGAGACGCCGTAGTGGAAGTCTCCTAAAATTTGGACGATCTGGGGTTCTCTAACGTGCACCTAAATCTGATTACACGGGCCTACAACAATACCGCCTCCTATGGAAATGCAGCCACCGCAGCCGGGACTTGATCCCGCTACCTGCGGGTCAGCAGCCGAGTACCTTAGCCACTAGACCACCATGGCGGAGCCTAGAGCACGTATTATTTATTTAAATATTAGCAAAGCATTGCCTACCCAGTGCGAGGGCAACAGCAACAAGAAGGTCCATTCCCAGGAGGTGCTTCATTTTGTACTTTTTTTCTCTGCAGAAACAATATGAGGCATTAAGGATTTAGCAGTACAGTCGATACTTTCATGTTACTTATTTACACATTATTCTTGCTTCTATAATCATTTGTAATACAATCATAGTGCTAAAAAATTGCTGCATTGCTGCGGGTACTTTCTCATTTTCGTCGGCTTTGTACATTCCTGTCTAGTCATTTGTACGGCTACCACTGCGGATGTGCCATTGTACACTTTAAAATACCAAAATGTGTGTCAAGACTCTGATTGGAGACCATGGTTTTCTGACAGTTTCACTTTTTACGACCCACATTGATTAAATTGTCGAAGCGTTTCGAGCACGTAAAATTTGACAACGTGGTCCAATGCTTAACAAACTATTTTAGGCGCTGCCCATAATGAAAAAACAAACAAAAATAAAGCACATCTGATCTTCACCCGTTTATTCTCCCTGTGTGAGTTGGACCACAAGTAATTTCGTAACCTGCCGAAAGCTACAATTGACAAACATATTCTTGTAGATAGGGGTCCGAGGAAAACACTGAAGAGGTAGAAGATAACATATCTGGAAGTAACACTGAGAAATCCTTGTGGTGCTCACCAATTTATTTTATTTTTTTTAATCAGCCTTCAAAGCAGACAAATTCACACAGGGAAGGAGGTAGAATTATAGATCAACTGGTCGCAAAGAATAGTAAGATAAAAATGACCACATTTTAATGTGTTTTTACTGATACAACCTATTTATTACCACATGAAAACAATAGTTATCCTTGATTGATGCAATGTCATGGGAGGGCATTTTCACTACCCTGTGTTATAGTAGATACATGAACATTTTTTTCCAGAATGTGAGGCCTGCCTAATGGTAGCAAGCCGCGCTATCTGACGTGCTTCGCGGTGATAAAATAGGTGAGTCGGGAAAAATACTGTGAGAATGTTTTATGAAAATATTCGAGTGGCAGAAATTTTGATGCGCCGTTAGCGATACCATGGAAAAAGCAAGCCGAGTTTAATTGAACAAATTAAGCTACGGTGATTACTTTTCCCGGTAATCAACCCTACCTCCGAAGCCTGTTCAAGTATTTGTTGGAATAATGTTTGAAAACGTACTAATCGAACTAATAATTGAGAGGCGAAAAAAATATATCAGAATTCTTCAAGCACGGTGTAATATTTTGGGGTTGAAGCACCTAAAGTAATTGTATATTTAGAGTACTATGTTTAATTTAAATTTATTGCAATACTCAAAGAAAAGATAAATATCTCTCGGCAATCTAATTCCATCTACTGGAGACGACCACCTAATAAGAAAAACATTTCTCCGATGAGGTTTATGGCAGTGTCAACGACAACCTCAATATAGCAAACATATTAGCCATTGTGGGTTTACGCTCTAAAACTAAAATCTGAATGTGAGGAACGTTTTGTGGAGGAGTCCAAAAATTTCGATCACCGTT